ATTTATATAGTTATGGAAAGTAAATAATACGTGGAAGAAATGAAAGGTGTTTTTTTACGTTGTTTTTTTTTTTTAAGTCATCCCTTTTGGGTCCCCACCGAAAATGTTCGAATTGGGCCCCGCACTTCCTAAAGCCGGCCCTGCATAGACATCTCAGGTTCTGTATTCTATCTAGTTAGGTGGTTCACCTCCACTGCTCCTATGGGATGACTGCTTCAGAACCTGCCTCCTCTGATGGGCTGAAACCTTCTGCTAATTTCCAGCCCCAAATTAATTCCTGGCCAGTTTATCCCTGTGTGATCTTGTGCCAACATTGTCCTGTAGCTTCGGTAGCTCCTCTACCTCCCAGGTTTCTACCCCTGAGGTATTTACAGAGAGCAATGAGAGACCCTCTCATCTTGCTAGGCTCAACCAGCCAAGCTCTTTCAGTCTCCTCTGATAAGGGAGACTCTCCATTACTGCGAGTATCCTGCTGTGCTTCGCTGCACCTGTTCCAGTCTGAGTGTGTCTTTCTTGAATACACGTGACCAGAACTGGACGCATTAGTGCAGCTAGACTGGAAATCAGGCAATACCTCAGGGTAAGCAAACCTCATAAGAACGGCCGTGCTGGGTCAGACCAATGGTCCATCTAGCCCAGTATCCTGTCTGCTGACAGTGGCCGGTGCCGGGTGCTTCAGAGGGAATAAACAGAACAGGACAATCATCAAGTACCCATCATCTGTTGGCCACTCCCAGCTTCTGGCAAACAGAGCTAGGGACATCCAGGGCATGGGGTTGCTTTGCCTCTCAGACTCGCCTCTTCCAGCAACTTCTTCTCTCTCCCAATATCCTTTTGCTGCCCTGTCATTGTGCACGAACGATGGGATGTGCTCGTGAATGATTCGGGGGGGAACTGTTTGCACTGAGGTGGGTGACAAATAGAATTTCCATCCTGAGGTAAATTCTCATGTTTTGGGACAAAAAGTCAAAATATTTACATTTCCCACAGAACAGAAATTCTCTTCCCTCCTTCCAAAAAAAGATTTAAGTCGACTCAAAATGAAACCTTTTCATTAGATAGACCGTGGGGCTGATGCCAGGCATCTTGGGAATTGTAGTTCTTGGTTCTTCCACCCCTGCTCTCTCCTTTAGGTCCTGATTCCCAACTGGACTACATCTCCCATGATGCACTGCAGTGTCTTCCTACTGCCAAAATACCACATAAGAACACGCATGAGTGAGACATTGCAGTGCATCATGGGAGATGTTGTCTGGTCAAAGACCAGGGACAAATGGGACCAGAAGGACACAGAACTACAATTCCCAAGATGTGCTGCAGCGGCCCCATAGGCAAACCAAAATGAAAATGTTTCATTCTGGGTTGACTGAAAATAAACATTTGAGTCGATTTTCCCAGTGGAAAAATCTCATCCAAATTGACCTTTCCCTTCAGGAAATTTTCTTTCAACATAAGGGAAAACATTTAGTAGGAATTTTTCCAACCAGTCCCACCCGTGTCATCCACATTACCCGAGTGGGGCTCTCTGTCCTCCTCTGGTGCCTACGCTATGGAAGAGTCTACAAGTCTCCTCCAGGTGCAACCTCCCCAGAACTAGCCCTGTCGCTCAGGCAGTAGAGGATCAGGCTTTTAAGATCCTGAGGTCTCGCTTCCAATCCCCGTTCTCCACCCAGCCCAGGGTTTTGTTGCATTTCTCTGTGCCCTGCTACTGAGAAAGCGAATGAGGAAAAGGGACGCACAGGTTGTTGAATATGGTACCGTTGGTCCACTTCCAGGGCTGGCCCTCGCCTTGTTCCTTCTGGAGGCCAATCCAGCGGTAAGGGATCTCTCTATAGCGCAGCATGAAATTCTGTGGATAAGAACACACACATGATATCCTTATCTGTGTTACAGCCGCCGTCACGGGGATCAGGGCCCCCACGCGCTAGGGGCTGCACACACAGGAAGTTGGTCCCTCGCCCAAACAGCTGCCAGTCAAACTACACAGGGCAAAGGGGTTCATCCAAAATGATTTTCCCCCCCCCACAGGAAAATGTATTTAAAAAAACCAAACAAACATGCTCCCGCCCCTCCCCCCATTTTGTACC